CAGTATGGTCGACAACTCGATGAATCGAACGCCTGGAAGCAAATCCACACCTAAGTAGTGTCTGGTGAGCGTAATCCCAACTTCGTCTGTAGTGAAATTAAAAAGGAAAGTCACTTTAGACATCTCTGTTACATTGCTGGAGATATTTAGGGATGATGACAGCTTGTCACAAGCTCTCACTCTGCCTGATCAACGAGCGCAAAGCGTTCTTAGGACATTGTCAAATTTCTCGGGCACACTTCTCTACTCAAACAATCCAACAAAACACACTGATTCACTGAATCGAGGGCACCAATGAGGTAGAGGAACACGACTAGGATTTGTCAGAAACACACGTAGCGGTGCTCCAACAAGACGAACAGGTTCTCAATGCATCATCGACTTTGATGAAGCCTGGATTGCCCTTCACGAATCTGGCTTTCACTAGTACCAGTCAAAATATGAAGAACGAGGCGAATGCAGAAAGACTGATACTTCTGGGATTTCCGCATCCCGGACTAGAACCTCCTTGAAAACCACGACTGAAATGTTGTAGCTCCAGTATGTTTGGACAGTCCCCTTCTCCCACAGCTTCACTAGGAGATAGTGTAAAGCATCAGCAAGAACATGTTCTCCAAATTTTACAAAAGACTGGAGGGTGATTATCTGGTCCAGCGGACTTATTTAATCTCAGCAGTCGGATTCCAAGTTCGACGTTTGAGCGAGGATGTGAATCTAAAGGCATGGAGCATGGTTGTCCCTCTTCGTTAGCGAAACTAGTAGTTCCGGCCGATTAAGTCGCCCGCGTAGGGGTGGGCGTCCTCGCGGTATACCCAGCCCGCGCGCGACTGGTGGTGGTCGCGCGGCAGCGAAGCGCCGTTACGGTGTTCAGCTGACACGTTATAAGAGTTTTGACAGCCTGTGGATGGGCTTTCGACTCTCGTCGCGTACATTCTCACTAACACCAGATTTCATGCTACTTGTTTGCCGTATCAGACGGCGTTGAGAAAGGTAGCGGTTGTCTCCATCTCTGAAGCACGATATGACCACCAGACTTCACGGTCTCCCATCAGATTAGCACGCAGTTTTGCACTGAAATCTATGCTAGTCTCCTTGCGTTCACTTCCAGCAGAAATGCGTCGGGGAGCACTCAGGTTCCAGCGAGTGCGTAGAGACCCAATGTCTAAGTTAGTAATCAGATTTACCACATGAAGATGTCAGCTGGAGAATATGCGACCAGTGACGAGCTTTGAACAGTGAGTGCGTTCCCAGACGTGTAATTAAATACGTGTCCAAAGCATCAGAATTCATCAGTTGGCAAAAGCATATGCGCTCATAGCGTCATCGTGGGCGCTCACCGAGAAGTAACCACAGATCGACCGGCAGTTTTGGACGTAGCCTCTTCAGCGGTAAATGATCACGACGTGATCAATTTGCGTTAAAGTTAGTCTGAGTCCGGTGGGCGCTATATCACCCTACTGCGAGTGCCGTAGCGGAGGTTACTTTTCACGAGAAATATATGAGAATCTCCACGCAGTTTTCGAAACACCTCATCTCATTAAGTACAGGAGCCTAGATTGCTTTGGCCACGCAGATGCATCTCATCAGTGATCAATTTTCAAACTTGAGCATTCAAGTCACCAGCCAACACTACGGAATCCGTGCTACTTCTGTGACGATCAGTTAGTCAAGTTAAGTCAATAATGTGCATTTATGCACCTGTGACGGGTGAATTGTTAGCTTTGACCAATGCCATCAACATGACAGGAAAAAACCAATTTAGTAGCAACAGAACAACAGCAAAAGAAGACTTAACGAGAAATATAACCTTATGAACAGAATTTACCGGCCAGTTCTTGAATAATAGCGTTTTGGTTAAATAGGAACCCGGCTAACTGGAGAATGACGGACGAACCATAGGCATTCGTACGGGCATAGGTTGTTCTATACCTTTTGTATAGTTGGCGAGTTAGATATACAATTGGGAAGTGAATTGTGAAGGTTGTCAAACTCAGTAAGTATTTTGAAGCAAGTTTAGTGCATGAATTAATGTGCGTGGATAGAGTAGTTTTTACCAGAATTGGCTTCGCAACACCACTGCAGCGCGAAAAATGCTTCAGTGATCTGCAAAGCAGCTTTAAATGCTTACACATTAGGCTTGAAGAAATCACAGGAGGGCAATAAATCCGATGTGGTAGAATGTAAGCAGTTATGAACTTCAGAAGCAAATTGTATGGTATACAGGATAATCACAATCGAGCAACGTAAAACAAATGTCGGTTGGCTTTGGTGAATACAGTCAAACCTGTCTAAGGCGACCACTCAAGGGACCGACAAATGTGGTCGCCTTGGAAAGGTGGTCGCCATAGACAGGTTCGTGCATAGGGACATTACTTATAGGAGAAAGAGATGGGGATATTTTTAGTTGTTCGCCATAGACAGGTGGTCTACGTCGCAGGTTGGACGTAGAGTGACGATGAAAATCGTGATAGAAGTTAGCTTTCACCGAGTCAGCACTACATCTGTGTGGACGTAAGTCACAATGACAAACAGGTACCGTTTCGCCCTGCTCTACTTCGGAGCTTAGAAGGAGCCACCGATTTGATGGAACACACCAGTAACTGAACGAAACCCGGTGCACCTGGACAGCCTCGACTCGTAGACTCAGTTAAATATCTACACCGGTATGATTGGCAACTGAAACCTCGTTTTCTTCGGACAGGTGCAATGACAGTGTTGTCAGTGTTACAGGAAGGGGTTCGCAGATTGAGTATAGAGCTCGATTATTGCACTTCGGTTCTCGATAACCTGCGGATATCCACCGAAAACGTCTCTACTAACCGGGCAATTGCTGCCTGTTAACCGGTCTGTGATAAAGCGAGCATGTTGCGGCACGTCAGTCTTAGCGACGCTCGAGTGCTCCAGTGAGAACAGGATGCACTACGGTTGTCCGCTTGGTATGACATAAACTGATCGAAGGGGCCGCACAGACACCAAGCGACTTAATATAATCAACGATTGCGCAAGAATATTCTTTTCGATAACCATTCAAACAACCAGGATTATAAAGCAAAATTAGGACGCAAATATGCTAGCGGAAACTTTGCCACCGTTGGATAAATGAACATAAATGGAATAATACTTGTATACAGTTAGTTAGCTGAGCGGAATGGAATATCAAACAATGGCTTGTCCCCCTAACTAGAGAGGTTGTGCGCACTCTACTCGTCGGTGGTTGACGAATTCAGTGATAACCGTTACGCATGTGCATTAAGTATGCGAGAATGAGAAAGAAAGTACATAAGGTTTCTCAGAAGACTAGAACCTTGTTCACCGGAAACAAAGTATCCCTACAATCCTGCAAAATATCTTCTTACCAACCTGCTTTCTTGGGACCAGAGGTGCGGATTAGTTGAAACAGCCTGCAAAAATTACCGACTGCTTTCGCCTCCTCCATTTCTTGAGCCCTACTGGTCCACCAGGCTCCGCTTTACTTCGTGTCAAATAGTCCGTCTCGTCACGTGGTGCTCAGAACCAGCCGGCAGTTTTCTTTTGGATTCCAACAGGCTCGCCGACCTCTCGGATATCCAGTGATCGGTGCGATGACGACTAATAGTAACTGTGACATTTTGTAAATGGTGACTGCACAAATTTCAATGCATGAAGAAATTATGGCCCAGCAAACTCGCGTAACGCACAGAACCAAGAGGAGTGTCGGCAGGGCCTTCAAATTAAGCTGTGCTCTATAATCCTGTCCAATGGACTTACTAACACACGCCTTTTCGCACTGTGTCAAAGCTATTTGGTTTTGCCTTTTCAATAGTTGTTCCGCAACCAGGGACATGATCGTTTACACTCGCTGTACTTGGAGTTCTTTTGCGTGCTTTCATGCAAAGGAATTGTGAGGTTTTTCCTAGTGAAGCCGTTCGAAACAAAAGAAAAAGAAGCAAAGTGGCAAAGGAATTCTACGCAAAAACACCATGCATGATAGTGCGTTCCGCTTCAGAGGAAAAATATCGGAAATATGAGCCTATCTGTTTTTCTCAGTGCTAATATTCGATCGCTACTGGGAAAAGTAGATCTTAAAAGTGTTAGAAAATGTCGTGAATATTCTGCTTTAGCAGCACTGTGCTGCAGAAGGCCTGGCTTCACGTTGATGTTGAAAATGCAGTTGTGGAACTCGACAGATTTAGTGTTGACTGCCAGTTTACACAAAGGAGCCGCGATGGTGGCGCTACCAGTTACCTTAAGTATTCAAGGTGTATGTCGAGTAAAAGCGTTTTTTACTACAGCTCGCAACGCATCAGCTGTTCAATCGTGAAATGCAAATCAAGATTACTAAACGGTTATGGTTCGATTTTATTGTCTATTGTTTATAACTCATCCAGCTGTCCAAGCTACGAAGCTGAGAAGTTCTACGAAATTGGGTTATCGCGGCTTTTATCGACGATATAAGCAGACCAAATGTTATTTGCTATTGGTATCCGGTTAAGATACTAGAAGAAAAATCCGGTTTCACTCCTTGAACACCCTTAGCACGGAAGCGTACGAATGCATGCCACAGTAATATCGGACAGCAAACTTGAGATTAGCCATTCAGCACGCAGAAGTCCACATGCACTCGACGGACAAGCGAAAATGGTCAATACAGACATTGAAACACGCACCAAAGGTACAACATCACCGAACGCCTAGTTATACAGTGCAAGTGGCACTTTCATGCATCACTAATCGAACTAGTGGCAAGCCATCATGTATGAAAGTTGGACAAACCCGATGTGGCCTAAGCCGATTGGTGGTCAAAGCATTTGAGACAGATCTTCTGTGTACAACCCATCCTCATGCTGCATTGGTTTCAACGGCGCCACTCGGTTAATTGCCGCAACGAATTTCTAACCCCACCCATAAAAGTCGGTGGTTCAAAAGGAGAAGGCTGCGAAAATCAGTCAGAGCGACCGATACCACTCACAGAGGCTCGCTTATTTCCACGTATGGGTGGAGTTTAATTAGTTCGGTTGCACTTAATTGATGGAGGAAAGTTTAAACGTGTCATGCACCCCCGTAGTCACATCCACCAAAACAGATAGGACGCAAATGGCGACTTTCCCGCTCTTGCTGAACTGCCGACACTCTTGTGTCTGTGATATCACGCATCTGTCAGTGTTAAGAACCGAAGGAAAGAGCAGCAACACACTTGGATAAGAGCTTCCATCCAAGGATCCTAACGTTGTCATACGCCCAGCCTGAAAGAAATTTGAGCTGACCGAAGGAAGCGGAACTGAAGTAAAGTCATACAGGGACAGTTGCACGATTGCAGTGGAAAAGGTTACCTCATCAAACGTCTCCTTAGTCATATTTCCGTACTGGTCCACAAACAACTGGGCCTCCAGCACTAGTGTGTCCGTCAGGTTGAACATGGCTTCCAGCCGATCTTTCAGACCTTGAATTTCTGTACTGATGTTGGACAGTCGCGTCTCCGCCTCATCGCGATCCGTGTGTACCTGTGAAGTGGGGACAAAAACGATATGCGGGGCGGCCAAAAAATACTTGCACTATCCCTACAACTTGGCAAACTTGATAAAGAATGCCAGTACTCCACTGGGGGGAACAAGGGAAGTTGGATACCGAGGCTAGTAGAAGGCATACAAAATGAAAGCTAAGGCACTGTTTCATGTTAACATATACAAATGCTGAATCTGATCACAGTGAAGGCGGTGTGAACTAAATACAGTCGATGAAAAAAACTAATGAACAGCCTACCAAATGGAGGATATTTGCCTCAATCATAATGAACTTGACTGTATCCGTGACTGAAAAGAAGACAAGATTTTGAGGCAAAGAACAGAAAATGGTTGGCTGATAAATCTAAAGATTGAATGAAAGAAATACGCAAACTGTTTAACTTCACATGTCAAACGTAAGCAAAAAATAAAAGAGAAAACAATACACGAGGGGTATTGAGGATCGGTTGGGGTGGATTTTAATTAGAACGCATCGATGAGAAGTCAACAATGACAAAGGTGGCCAACATAATCTTAATTTCAATGAATAGTGCGTTCCATAGAAAGCTACCAATGATAATACTACGGCTAATGACGAGGGTCGTTCACATCAAATTTTCAATAGCCGTAGTATTATAGCAGGACAAATTAAGCGCGTCTTAAGCCATCGGACTGAATTGTCGGGATACAGGTGCGGTCTAAATTTCCGTCTTATTAACAGGCTGAAATCCGTCCATCAACACACCTGATGGGTAGTTGAAATTCAAAAACAAGGTATTTATTCCAACCTATCAACGGTGCAGTCAAACGTATCGGTTACCTTCATGATCACAGACTCCGCACGATATACACCCTGTAGTGCATTCGCCAACTGTGTTTGAAGATCCAAATTTTCTTCCATTAGATTCCGCAATCTACCACCAATGCTTGCGTTACACCCCACATTGACACCGCATCCACCAAAGATGCCGGTCTCGTATTCGGATTCCAACGCCTCATTAGGGAATTGTGAGGGGGAAGTAGTTACCTCTGAGCTCGTCAGTGCCCGCGTCAGCGATGGTTGTCTTAGCCCAATCCAACGTGATAGCGGATCACAAGCAGCTCCCCCACAGCTGGATGGGCATAATTTGCTATCTGAATCTTCCGGAGGATGTGCGCCGTTATCACCACACAACTACAAGGTACAAATAAAAGTGTGAGATCATTCAGTTTAATTTAAGAAAGTTAAAATTTTCGCTGATCATTGGCGCGATCAGCCACTATCCTGAAGGATGTATACCCAATCCTCTATCTAAAATTAAACCTATTTTCTTGAGTGTAGCGAATGATTGGCGTCCGAGAATACATCGAGAAATATGGTGCTGCACCATGTTCATGTGCCAGTTATATCACTGGTACGTTGGGAAGTGCTTTATTCGCACGCTCAGGACTTATTTTTAAGTCAGTGTGAGTTGCTGTCACCGCCCATTTGAACCTGTGAAGTTATTTCATCTCTTCAATAGAGACAAACGGAACAGCAGGCTAAAACAGAGCGCAATGACATCCTAAACCCGCATACTGCCGCGCGGAATATACAAATGATGTGATACTGGGCACTGAACTTAAATGGAATGAGTGAATATATGCTTAATGAACTCACAAGACGATTGCTCTGACGTATGTGATCTCTGAATTCGCTTATCTTTCGGTCCATCTCAGCCCAGTCGTCATTTAGTGTGGACCCACGAGATTTTACAGCTCTGACCTCGTCTTCGATTCGAGCAGTCCTATCTTCCATTGAGCCTCTTTGTTCTTCGATGCTTTGCTGTATGCCCTTCACTTTCGTCCCTATTTCCACAGCTCGTTGAATGGCCATGTATGCTCCTAATAGGAGAAAATAAGATTCATCGCATGTGTGTAAGAACGATAATTTTACCGGGCTGATATTAGCTACTTAGAGAACCGATCGAAAAATAACGGAAAAGCCCTGATTGATGCGTTGGTCTAGTGAGCAGAGATTCGCAAAGATGCGATGACAAACACCGTAGTGCGCAATGAGCCGATCATGGCAAAATAGTGTGACACCGCTACTCCAGCAGGCGAAAATCTCCAATGAATCGCAATAACACCGGTTCAGACATTTCACTAATGACGAATCAGCTGAAACCATGAGGACTGCATGTAAGCAGTGGAGGACATTTGCTCCATCGGCTGGCAGCATTGCCCAGGGCCCAGAATATAAGTAACTAAGTATTCCCTCTCAGCACCATCAGTCAGTACATTAACTAGGCAACTTGTCAGATGAATGCTTTTTGAACTATTACCTAAGTATTTGGATTTAGTAGCCAAAATTGCAAATATGCTTAACTGAAAGTAAGCTGGGTTTTACCTGCGCCAATAGAAAATACTCACCAGAATGAGGCGCAGATTCTCGAAGTAAGCACTAAAGCAGCCAAATTGGAACCACTTGCAATTATCGAGATTTTCCACAGCTTCGAGATAGAATAACTGAAGCAATTGCTACCAAAGCCTTCGATGAATGTCAAAACTTCTTAATGAACCGAGCCCACAATATCAGCGCTTTATACAATAACCGCAATCCAGTAATAAGCGTGGGTAGACTAGTGACTTAACACTAGAACGCGATAACTGGGAGCAGTAGTTTAAGTCGAAGACCAGGATAAATGTTAGTACGGATAACCATTATACTAATAGGTGCACTTCTCACCATCTGAGAGACCACGAGTGTGTGGGAATAGATCGAACTGTACAAATTCACCAGTGCTCATACAAGGGGTAATAAATCAGAAGATAAACCTAAGTTTTGTCGATGAAGGTTTGTAAAGGGATGTGTGCAGTTACCCCAAGCTTAATCGATGGATCGTCATACAGACTAGCTACTAATGAAAATTCGGCGAAATAATTAGTCCGTGCAATAAATAAAATGTGGGTGAGCTAAACACAAGTCCACTGTAGTGGAGTTTGGAAACCACGGCTGAGGATCCTTGAATAAGAGTGAGGGATGCTGTAGGAAATGGGATGTAGTGGGAGTCCTACATCGCGTTTCGTGGGTATTAAGGCGATGCTTCTTAACATTTCTGCTGCTCGACGTCAGCATAGCATGTGTAGAGAACATTCGGACGTCGCGATCACAATTCCCCTCCTCTACCAAACATGCCGACTATACCTCCCATTTCTTCGGGAAACCCAATCTCCAACTCGTTCCGTCTTATGTTCCCTGAAATCGTTCATTCCTCGCATTCCCACGATCCTAAATTGCCTCTACACCTTTGTCTAAGTTTGTTTGCGATTGTCAACACCATATTCTGCACTGGTTAAGGTCGTTTGGTTGCCTTCACTCCTCACCGATTATGTCTGTCTGTTGACCTTTTGTCTCCACCAATTATGCATGTCTGACCATTCCTTTCTTTGTGTATGTGCATCTGTGACTCAGTTGGTGAACGCTCCAAACAGGCCAAAGTCACACTCGCTTGAGGCTTACACGATCCGCATCCCTTTAGCTTTACCCATCTTATAAACACACCGTGTGTCTTAGCGCCGTCACTTTGTACAGCGGACGCTCCGAAGCTGGACTTGTTGACTCGGACCGAAACGATTGTTATGGTAACTGTTCTGAGTTTGGAAGCATAATCGTTAAAGTATTTATTGGACATGGTCATTAATTCATTTGTAAATAGTACCGTTATACAGTTCGGGACTTGATGTTTCTTTGATCCCGGTGGAAACACGTTACTCGAACCTGTCAAGCGAATTTTGTTGCTTACAGTATGTATTCCCGAATCCGGTTCGTACGGACTATAAAGTTATTTTTACCGTCCGGTACGCAGCGTTCGATAGGGCAGATAACCTTTTTCATCTTCTCAGTTCATCCAGCCTCTCCCGCTGAAACGGACAGCCTGTGACGTATAATTTCATCTAACAACTTATCTCGTAAGACGTAGTAGACCAGAGTCAAGTTCCAGCCATGTGGAAGCTTGGAATAATAACCACGATTCAAAAAGGTGGAAGCAGAACTGATCCCTCCAACTACCGCCCAGTATCCCTTCTTTCTATACTCTCTAAGGCCATGGAATCCATCGTTGCAGATGCACTGGTGTGCGATCTTGAATACTGTAACATCATCACGTCTGAGCAGCACGGTCTCCGTCGACAGCGGTCATGTACGACTAGTTTACTAATCGCACTCAATAGTTGGACCGAGTCAGCTGACAATGGAGATGGCATTGATGTCATTGGTATCACCGAGACATGGTTGCACACGGGAATGACGGACGCTGAAGTGTCGCTACCCGGCATGTCGCTGATCCGGAACGACAGGCTCACAAAAGGAGGAGGGGTAATCCTGTACTACCGAAACGACTTACAGTGCGAAGCCGTGGAGGATTCAGACTCGCAGTTCCCTTACTCTCTTTGGTGCCGGTTGCAGTTAAAAGGCAGGGACGCTTGCCTTATTGTCTTGGTGTACCGCGCTCCTAACTCAACACCCGAAACCGACTACCACCTAACGGCTACTTTAAGGTGCAGTTTACAACAAAAGTACACTTACATTCTTATCATGGGTGATTTCAACGTACATTGTTTAGAAGCCCCTGCCACGATCGGAGAACAATTCAAAACTGATTTACAAGATCTAGTAACTACTGTTCCTCTTTACAACCACATCACTTTACCCACTCGGTTCAGAACAGGTAACAGGCCATCTGTGCTAGATCTTGTGCTTACCAACGAGGAGCATATGATAGATGCGTTGGTTTTAGACTGCCCGTTGGGTCGCAGTGATCACGCAGTCATCAGTTTCAACTTCGTCTGCTATGCAGAATATCTGAATGATAACAATGATACTGTGCGAACCATCACAAGGTACGACCGACTCGCCCAGCTAGTCAGCGCCACAATATGGTCTTTCCTCGAAGAAGAACCCCCTGAAGTCGCCTGGCTCGAGTTCGTCAACATATTCAGTCAGCTGATTGCACAGGCTTCAGAGATAAAAACTTGCAATAAGTGCAAATCAGCTTCTTTCGTTAGAAGCAGAACCCGAAAATGGATGACAGTACGCAACGCAGCATGGCGAGTGTACAGAGAAGCTCCAGCACCAGAAACTTGGGACAACTACGTAGCCCAACTTAACTACTGCACCCAACTGTTAAGAGAAGACAAAGCCGCCTATCAGCAGAACATCGCAAAAACCTTCAGTGCTAACCACAAACTGCTGTACAAGCGCGTTAATAGTCTACGAAAGGTGAGGCAAGGATTTCCTCCACTCAAGACGGCTGATGGCCCAACAAGAACGTCAGTGGAAGCTGCAAACGCGCTGCAGATGCAATACGCCCCCAAGTTTCAAGGGGCCTTGCCACCAAGCGATCTACAAGCTTTGTATTCTGCTCACCAGGACTAACCCATATCAATTTTACCGCAGAGACTGTATTGCAAAAGCTGACTTCTCTACGCAAACACAGCTCGCCGGGTATCGACACCATTCGTCCAGAGGCATTGGGAGCAGCAGCAAACCAACTGGCAGGACCTTTAGCTCAGTTTTTCCAGCACTGCTTAGACCAGAACCAAGTTCCCGCCATGTGGAAGCTTGGAATAATAAGCCCGATTCGCAAAGGTGGAAGCAGAAGTGATCCTCCAATTACCGCCCAGTAACCCTTCTTCCTATACTCTCCAAGGTCATGGAATCCATAGTTGACGAGGCACCGGTGTGCTATCTAGAAAACTGCAACCTCATCGCCCCTGAACGGCACGGTTTCTGATATAACCCGAACTGTTCGAAAAGGTGGATAGAACACTAAGTCGTGGAAATGACCGGTAGTATTGATACAGCGGATAAAGAGATACTGACTAGCAGAGTCACAAGTGTCAACAGGAAGTTTCCGTGTTTTCCAGACTCACTGGGGTATATGGGTTTCGTTGGTTCCAGCTTGGTGGTGATTGGCTGGACAGTTGTATGATCTGATTGGATGATAGCACTCCATGTTGGGTTGGGCCCGAGTACGACAGTTTCCGTCGACAGCGGTCATGTACAACTAAGTTACCAATTGTACGCAGTAGTGGTACCGAGGCAGCCGACGCTGGAGAAGGTGTTGATGTGATCTACCTGGATTTTTCCAAGGCTTTCGATCGTCTAGCCCATCGGATACTACTACCCAAGCTGCAGCATTACGAGATCGGCGACCCTCTTTTAAGCTGGATCGCCAAAATTCTATTTCAACGGCAATTAGTGGTCAGAGTTCGGAGCCCTTTATCGGACCCCATACAAGTGGAGTGTGGTGTGCCGCAAGGCTCGGTTCTAGGTCCACGTTTGTTTCTGGTGTTTATTAATGATCTTGCACAGGGAATCGCTGCAAACTTCCTAATGTTTGCCGACGATATCAAGATCTGGCGCAGGATCCAGGCGAACGCCGACCAACATGTGCTTCAGAGTGACTTAGATACGGTGTATCAATGGTCAACCCAAAACTTATTGCATTTCAACGTCAGTAAATGCAAGGTGCTTTCCATCCGACATCAAAGCAGCTACTCATACTGACTCGGAACGAATGTACTGCAACAATCAACTCTCGAACGTGACTTGGGTGTCCTGGTTCAAGATGACTTGGGTTGCTCCAGGCAATCCGGAAAGGCCTCGAAGACCGGGAACCAACACGTCGGGCTGTTGAGGCGGGCGTGTAGACAAATAAACAGCTCCATATTTCGACAAATGCTCAGTGCGTATGTTCGCCCCCATGTCGAATATGCAATTCAAGCCTTGAATCCATGACTGAAACATGACGTTAGTACACTGGAGCAGCCACAACGCCGGACATCTAAGAACGTAATTGGAACGCGCAATTTTTCATACCAGGAGAGGCTGCAACGATTGGAGTATTTAGTGGAAGCTATCGCAGACTACGAGGCGACCTGCTTATGGCATACTTGATTCTGCGAGACCCACATCATGTGTGCCGCCATTTACTGCAACTCAGTACCAATACAACTCAGAGGGACCACTCATTGAAACTCGCAGAACAACACAGCCGTATGGAGTGCCGCAGAAATTTCTTTTCCGTTCGTGTCTGTCACCCATGGAATGCTCTCCCAAAATCGGTCGTCCCTGCACCGACACTAAAAGTATTTAAAAGACGGTTGGATGATGCAATCATCCACTTACACTTTGTCACTTAACATTACGTCTCAATCCTACATCTGAAGATTACCATGGAATTACTTGATGGTTACTGCGGGTGCTGTGAATCTAAACGGATTGCAGGACTACAGCGGAGCAAACAATAAGTCCTTATTTTCATATTTAAGGTACTAACTGTTTTACTTTCATTATTATTATTATTATTATCCTTATGTCGATACCCTCACCAAGTATCCAACGGGACTTGTAATGCAACGCTTCTTAACCCGTAGGGATTCATTGTTCATTGTTCCCGTACACAAGTGGCGTTCAACAGTGCTGTACAATTTGCACCGGTTTGCTAAACTCCGTCGTGGACTCTGCCATGTGATGTTTCCTTGAGGCATCCAACGATACCTGAGTTGAAATGCTGTCTGGAGGAAACTCTGTTGATTTTGATTATGCGCACGATAGTGACCTTCTGTGTAATGATGTTGGGGTGGCGCAGTCCACCCTAATTAACATCTCGAAAGTAGTCCCATCATTTGGCATGCGTTTCGCACCTTCAAAGTGTAGCCACTTGATAACCCTTTGACCATTGATAGCGAGAAACTCGAGTTAATTGATCAATTCACTTACATTAGCAGCTGCATCAGCAACGATGGGCGCATAGCAATTGAAGTCATTTCACGTGCTACAAAAGCTAGAACCGCCTTCTTGAATCGGTGACATCTTTGGCGTCAAAAGGCATTTAAACTCGGTCTGAAACGCCGTGTTTATAAAGCCACAGTGAGGGTCGCCCTAGTCTATGGGAGTGAGACATAGCCTCTTCTGTCTGAGGAACTGAGGTGCACTCAAGTATTTGATCACCATTACTTACAATGCATTGCTGCTGTTGGATGGCAGCAGCGTGTCGGCAACGACGATGCGCGTAGGCGAGTGCTAAGCGGCGATTATCAGGTCAGTCCCTTAGAACAACAGCACTGTATAAACTGCGTTGGCTTGAAAACGTACTATCTATATCCAGTCACCACTTAGCGAGGCGGGTCTGGATTTGTTTGCCTGATGTACGCCCGAGGTGGGGAAAAGTTAACGGCAGCGAGAAATGAAGTCAATGACTACGAAACTGATTACGGTTGGCTCGTCTCAATTACTAGCCTTGAGTCCACGTAACTGGCCTTGTGTTTGTCTCGAGACGTTACAGGAAATGTCTCACCATTGGCATCATTGGCGCGACGACTGTCGTTTCCTAAAAGCCCTGCTTGTGTCCGGTACTGAGTAAGCTGCAAGGTTATGGCTGATTATGACACGTGGTAGTGAAAACCACAATGAAATTGTCTCGCCGATGCCGCCTTATCCTTGCACGATATATAGCTATTAGTGACAGTGTGCTTTTGACAAGATGTAGGCGCCTTGACCCTAAATGTCTGCTTAGAGCATTAAGGTTTTAAGCGAGGTCCCTCTTCTTCCCCACTTAGTATTCTTCAGTTCGTAGATTGTGGTTGCACGACAGCGAAGCATCAGTTCGAATAGCTTATGCACTGGTGATGATGATAATGTAGGAAAATATTTCTTCCAGCCAGCGAGACATCAAGAGATGTAATTAATGACTGCAACAAATTTTCATTGACAAAAATCCCACCGCTTGAATTCCAACTTTATTGACCGCCGTTGCCCTTTAGGAAGAGGAGTGGCAGACTCCAGGCACTTGTGTCTGTGGAAGCTGCAAGGAACGCCACTTCCGTAAGCCGTTTACCAGGGCCACAAAGTCTAGTAAAGTTGGTGCGCTAAATTCTGAGTGTCACGCGAAATCCCAGCTCCTTAGTGCGCTCAACAGATATATGTTATTTCGGTGATTCTGAGAAAAGGTAAGTTTTCAGTTTTTAGCTTAAATGACATGCCAATCAGGAGAGTACTTGCAAGGGTCTTGCTGCTGTCAGACTTAGGTGAATACTTTGTGCAAAATTTGTCGATGGCGTAATGCACCTACAAGTTAGCATCGTAAGCGTTTGGTAGTTTGGTAGAAATGGAGGCTCATACTGCATCGATAACTCAAATGACCAAGCTAGTGTGCTTACCATGGGGGTTCTGTCGCTCAAGTTTCTCGCCCTCTTCCATAGCCACCTCAATGCGCCCTTTAATATCATCCAGCCGCATTTTCAGTTCAGCTACACGGTTCTTTCGCGTAATCTCACGGTCAAGATCCGTGAGCATGCTTTGAGACAGCGTGTTCAAGCCCTCCGGTGAATCGTCCAGGGAAATCATTTGTTGTAAAAGTTTGCTGTAACGATCAGTAGCGAAGATAGAGTGCATTAAAGTGAGCCATTTTGAAAATCGGTTATATGTATCCTATCGCGAAAATACAGATCTTTCAGAAACCCATACATCATGCGAGCGGAGAGGATTACCCTAGTGACTTCTTAACGCAACTCCGTCGGACTACATGCATTGCTTCAGGTAGAACAGCAATGGCGCTTCATTTCCGATAACATCGTAACAGAACTGTGATGCACACACAAGATTACCTAGTGTATGGCTTACAAGCGAGCGGTTTTTTAAACAGATGTGCAATAAAATAGAGAAAATATGGAACCGAAAGTAGAGCAGATCCCTTACCGGTTTGCGTTTTGGGTCTCAACTCGTGACACCAGCAGCCCTTAGCTTGAAAGGCACCAGTGTGCAAGGTTGTCTGTTGTAGCTTTAGATAATTCACAGAGATTTGGGTCATAAATTGCTGTACAGAGGACTCAAGTTGAGACCCTGTTTCACTATTGAGTACCGTCATTCCACAACGTGCACATTATTTTGAATTGTGGACCACAGCTCATTCTGCCAGGATGTTCGCAATGTGGTGCCATTTGAGTTGCTCGCATGGAATTTCGCGTGAAAAGCTGTTTATTCAAAGCCATAAAGTGTAATAACAATATAATATGTACTGCTGTTGTAGACAGTCATGTGTGAGCAGCACGGCGTGGTGTTGGATTTGACTTCAATGTCCAAATGTTTGGCCGTAAACAGCGCTACTGCACACAAAAACCAGGGGTCACTTTAGTGGGTTTTCGAGTATCCGCCGTGTGTTTGGATTAAAATACGTTTCCCAAACTGCGACCACGGTTTACATCGAAGTAAACCTGGACTGTTAGAAGCAGTGAGACTTTATCTAAAGGAGAGTGTCTCAGTGTTTGTAGCCAGTGAGAATGAAAATCTCTACGGGATTGTAATTACTCCAGCGTTTTATCCCTGTGCATGAAAATGATAATTTATCCGTGGTTACTGGAACCAACACCAATTTACCGTAACGGTCAGTGAAACGCTATTGTGCTTACTTTGTTTTAAACTATATTCAACTGAGCTCCAAATCGGCAAAAGTGCGAATAAAATGAAAAAGTTAAAACCAAACCAACTCTGTGAGGTCCAAAACTTTCTGCAACTCTGTTGTTTTCTCTTCTGTGATGTTCAGCCAGGGAACATTCTCGATTTGATGCAACAAATCCACAAGGCCGTCGAACAGTGTTTTCAGTTCTAATGGTAGCTGACGTCCAGTCTGGTTTTTCAAACGATCCAATTCGGCTGCACGTCCGGGGAAAAGACAGTACCGTTGAAGCAAGGAAGCAATGTGTGAGAGAGACATACTGGTCTGTTACATGTGGTTCGTAAAAGGATTTCAGCATTAATTCCAAGGCACGTGTTATTTAAAGCATTTTGTAGTTTATGAGTAGCGGATTTCCATTCGGCGTCGCAAATAGCCACTCCTTAACTGTGTCAATTGTGTTGTCATCAGACAAGATGCCATGGACAGTAATGAGGGCTGATCTAATCTGATCCTCATCTCGGAATAGCCATTGTACCTGAAATTCTGGCGTCATGATGCGAAGGATTCGAGGCTCGTTATTGCAATTTTCGAATGTATGATCAGTGGAAAGAGAAATTGAACATGTGTCCTTGCTAGCACCCGTCAATAGCCTCAGCGTTGGAAATTGCAAAGTTCAAGCTGGCGCTTCGTACAGACGCGTACAGACGCTTACTCCTCATTTTTACGCAATGGGTTATGAGTAATATGTGCTCGCTGCGCTACCTTTGTGCTAATAATGTATGACATATAACAGCAGCGCTCCGAAATGTTATTAATCACGATAGCCAAATTCTTCCACGTAGCCAGAGAGAAAGCGTCGGGGAGAGTAAGAACTATAATTAACCATGTCAAACCGCAACCCCTCGAAGCAAACGTCACATGTCTCTAATAAGTCTGCAACATACAGTTAATCCTAGAAATCTTCTCCGTTTTTACTCTGTTACACGGGGACCAAGACCCACGCCTTCGGGTGAGAGGAGAGTGCACCAAATAGCCAACTGTCCATTAGTTGCTGTTGGTCTATCTCAAAATGTCTCTCACCCGGTATATCGGTGGACACATCGCAGAAAGTGCTGGCCAATAGCATCCGGCGAGTACTGCACTGAAAGCAAAACGACGGCCTTCATTTCGAACATTTACTTCGTTGACTTATATGACAGGTAACTTGATTTGTTAACAGAATTAACGCTTCACAATTGTTAGCATCTTTCAACAAAGAAAAGTTGCAGACCTGGGTCATTCCACAGCTGCAGGTCGAAGGAAGTGAAACTCAGCATCGCCAATGAAGGTCGCGGGATGTCGGTGGACAATATGTAGAAAGTACTAGCCAATAGCATCGGGCGAATATTGCTCTGCAAGCGAAACCACGGTGGTCACTTTGAACATCTACTTGGTTGATATTTTTGCTCTTGAAACATACTTCATGTAAATATATGTATGATGCATGACGATTGCTTTCACTACCACATTGTTGCGATGGGTAATGGTGCCAATAGTTCGTCGGAGTAGAATGAACGATACCAGAAAATAGAACAAGACGAGTAGTGAGAAACGCGTGACCGCTCAATTGTCCGACAGCGTGCAGGCGTCGCTGTTGATGTTGACTGTAAAGTTGACGACGGTGGAGGAAACCGTTGAAGCTCAGTAGGCTGCATCAGGCGCTTCTTGCAAGCCAGGGTCAGGTATTTCCGTTGCAGAAATGTGGTTAATCTTGTGTTTGCCAATTAGCTCAATTATGATTACCGCCATGCCTCTGTCAATCATGGTTCTCACATGGTAAGGGAACTGCGGCTGGCAAGTAAGGTAAGAGCTACAAGATAGATATGTTTTTACCACCGATTCTCTTTGGCGACTTCGGAACTTTGCTTCAGCCGTTAAACCTGCAATATGCCGTACCTGCCCAGTATGCACAAACGGTGCGGGATTATCTTAACGAAGTGTCCGGTCACCGATGGATCGGTTGCGGAGGTCCAAAGGATTGGCCTCCTCAGTCACCAGATTTGAACCTCTTACATTTCTTCCTAAGGGGTTATTTGAAAAGAAGCGTTACAAGACAACGCCTATTTCACCGGAACCAATGAAAGGCAGTATCGTCAATGAATGTCGCGCCATCAACACGGAAACTTTGTAAAAATTTATAGTATATTGCCTCAGGAGATTTCCGCACTGCAAACAGAATGCTGGCGTGCACGTTGAGCATCTCCTTCTTTGACGGACATATCACCGTTTCATGCTGTTTATGTTAATATAGGTATTAAACGTTATCATTGATTTCTGGACTAAACTGGTGCACAGGCATATAGTGCCAAAGGTGCGTCGGACTCGAATGCATTCCACGAGCAAAGCTGATTCGACAGCGCTTAGACTGACCACTTCTATGCAACTTGGTTCACAATGCCAATACTTGTTTTTCATGGTTATGCCTAAGGAATACGGGGAGGATGTGAAAGAGATGGTGATGTGAGAATAGGCTACGCGGTTTCGTATTTTTATCCTGTTCATCGGTGTGCAGGCTCCGGCGTGGGATGAGTGCTTCTAAACAATAACATACCAGTCACATAAAGGGGAAAATAAGATGGTCCAACAATTTTTCAATAAGAATGCAGACCGTGAAAGCGTGGCTTATCGTTCCTCTTGAATTTGATACTCGGAGTTTGCAGCAATATGTGTCAGAAAAGTTACCACTTGGATAACTGGCTTGTGGTGGACAGTATGCGTTAGAACCCACATGCGTGTGCTGTGGTCACACGATTTGTTAATCAGTGTTGCGAGCCAATGAGCTTCGCGCTTTGTGGAATCCGTGAATTTCAGTATCCGCGAGGATTACATATAGCCCAGAAATGCAGCTTCTAAGTTCCATGCTAATGAAATATTGCCTCATCAGTGAATAGGCTATGCGACAGCGAGTAACCTTTAGGTGGCATAGCCTTTCAAGACACCTTTCCCAAAACGTTACATTTCATATTTGCAGGGCCTAATTGTAAGGAATGCTTATTTTGCTAAGGTGGGTTGTTGGAAGCTAACTTTCAGTCTACAAGAGCGTTGCCAATAACCCTTTTGTCATTAGCTGGGATAATACTAAGCGCCTATTTAACACTCTGTTCTCAGGTCAGTTAGACCAGTCCAAACGCCACCACATTTCTACCGCAGTAGCACGGTAATAATGCCCTGCGGTCCTGATTTTGCACGCCTGCATTCGTTCCGACTAGCTCGGAACACGGGATGTATCGATCGGTGAACCTGCGCTGTGGCATGCCATCGTTGACTTCAACTCGACCATCCGCGCCCATCCAGCGTTTTCACGATGGGCAAGATTGGCAAGTACGCCTGTATCCAGATGCATGCATACCGGTCGTTCACACCCATGTGACCGGGTGAGGGACATTTTAAGATAGACCAACATCAACTATTGGACACTTGGCAATTTAGTGTGCTCTGCTCTCACATGAAGGCGTGAACCTTAGTCACCGTGTAACAGAGTAAAAAGGGACTAGACTTCTAGGACTAACTGTAGTAATGCAGATGAGTTCAGCGCGCACGTTGTCGTTTCACTACGTGTTGTGTGTACCTACGCTGCCACACCAATGTGCCTGCCACTCAGCATGGTTATGTAATTTTCCGAATGACTGGTATCACCCATGGCTAAGTCATGGTATGGGGGACGCATATAACTAGAAGACAACAAACACACATCCCGTCCATTCACGAATCATAGCACAACACGATAAGGTTGCTTGGTGTGAGCTTCCTATCTCAAGTGCGTGCATCACGAGGTGGCTGTCTAAGCCCTTCGAGGGAGCAAATGAACCACAATTGAGGCTAACTCATGTTACAAAAAAAGAACGAGTCAGCTAAATACACGGATTTATCCATAACTAAGTCGTTTGACTTCTAATCAATATGGTAGATCAAAACGTTTGGTATACTCGTGGCACCTAGGACAGCTGATCGGAACCTCCAGTCATTCGCTGACAGCTAACAACGGCTTTTTGTTTTCGGAGAACCAGTGTAGCTGCACCAGTTTACAGGGTGGTCGCATGAGTACGCAGAAGAAGATGACGAACCGGGCTATCGAGAGAAATGGTGGTGCGCGCGATTTCGTTTGTTGGCTAATGAGTACTAAATAGACATCACGAGTGCGCAAAAAAGCTTAAGTTGGAGCATTTAGGGAGCCAGTAACTTCTTTGCACTCTACTGTTGACTCTCGACTCCGTTGATGATATGCAACATTAAACGTTTTAGATTTAATTTTTCTATCCATTTTGTGCCTCGAACAACCAGCTCCATTGTTACCTTGGTGGTACGAGGTCCTCCAATCCCGATACTCGGATCGTGCAGCGGAGCACAAATTGAACCGAGGCCAGCGCTTCTCTGACCGATTTCAGATCAACATACAGATTCTACACATATTCCTGGAAATGATAGTAAGATGGTCAGCATCATTTCCGAACACCTTTACCGAGCTGTACCTGATCTCAACGGCTTGCCTACACTCTGTTCTGGCACACTGATCGCACCGAGTCCTGCCAATTGGTAAAAGGTATACATTGACAACAAATCGGATAGCATAACAGTTGACCAGGAGTACCGGTGGATATGTCGTGACTTACATGTGACTTGGTCGATCGCCTTGTCCCAGTTCGTCCAGCACTCGCCGCATGGCTCGCAATTCGGCAGGATGCCTTTGGTACCACGATCACAGCGATCGCATCGACGACCCGCTACTCCTGAAAGGCATTGGCATTGTCCAGTGAGAGGGTCGCAGTAGTCACTCGCTGAGCCCGATCGGTCACAACCACAAGCTGAAACGCGGGAATGAAAAGGTAGATTGGTGGGTTGGCCATGAAAATTAACGTGGATGGGGAATTCAGAATGTTGCACATGGTAATCGATCCTTCATAAGTGTTTATTGTGGTAACGTTTCGCCCATGACTCAAGAGCTACTTCAGGCTAGGAGTTGCTAGTGCGTACACTAATCGTGGTGCGAGTGGACGCAATCGATGTTTGGAGTAACTCTAGCTCATTTCGATCCCTCAGAAAATAAGAGCGGAATATCTCTAACCGGTTTTGCTTTTGACGGAAGCAGGCATGGACGACCGATTAAGAGGAGCATTCTGGTTGGCCCCAGTAGCACTCGCATATCTAAGTGGTCATGGTTTGCGGCATCCGGTTTCGGATTTGTCTGTCACCGGGGCCAGGTACAGGACGCCTGCACCTATTGAAGGACCATGGGTAGCTTGCGATGCACCAACCACGGTTCCAACCACACACCGTATATCTAGTGTAAACCCGAAGGAATAACACCTGGAGATATGTAGATGGGAGCCAAGTATCATTAACGGAGCCGGCCCCCACTCCTTCACAGGCAAACACAAGCACGTTCTAGTTGGGAATCAAGCACACACAAGGCGGTGGCTGAAGCGTAGTCGCTCCACACTGAGTGCATGGAAGCACTCTTCGAGCCTAGTACGACCACAAGGACTGTGCACCCCGTCCACTCCAACAATGACCAACTGTCTCCTGGAGCCACTATGGACCAGGTAGTGGGTAACTGATAGGTACCTTGTAGATACCTTGATAGATACCCTGTCAACAAGCACATCAAGCGCAGCCACACCGGAGATGTCAAAAAACAGCCAATCTCTTTAAATGACATTATCAACTAAAATATATCTGTTAAGGCATACAGCTATGCCAATATAATTCTTCGGTAAATTAGCATATGAAGTAAGCTGGTTAGCAATGAATCCGCGATGAGTACAAAATGTACAGAAGTTATCCAAAAACTGCTACAAACGCAACGGAGTTAAGGAATATAAACACAATTAGCGTAAACAACATGTGCAATTATAACTTGCACATGTAGGTAGGCAGAACAAATGAAACAAAGTGGAATGAAATTTATCCAAGTTAAAAGAACTAGTTTAAGTGTAAGTTAGCTTAGTTTAACTGCGGTGAAGAAGCAGCATGAATGCAACATCAGCCTCAGCATGGCCATAAAGTGGTAGCAATTGGTATACTAGTGAGTATTATGATTCGGGCGGATTGAACGACCCTTTCGTTGCCTTAAGAGGGGCGCGAAACAATTTACTATTCATGCAAGAGCAAACCGAGTGACTGGGTTTTGTAATGAGACCATTAGAGCCGGAGATTCAGTTAGTTACAGGCGAGTACATGCACATGACTTTTCGGAACAGACAAGCATTGCGTATATGCTGATATTTACAGTCAGCTAGATTTTCAATAATCGATACCGCTGAAGGAGCACTGAATCGTCCGTGTCTCCATATCACTTCTAATCAGTGAATAAACATGTCACTGGAGTGGCTGAAAGGTTTGAGTCATTTCTTTCATAACTGACGGACTACGTGGCGATGGTGATGCACATCTCGCGGAATGATAATTAACTTTGCAAAGAAATGGTAAAATATCTGTAATGGATCAGCATGATACTTCGCGTTTTCGACCTCGTCTGCGCGGACTTCGTTCGGAATCTACGACGATTGGCGATGATTACTGGTGAGTGACGCACTGTGGCTTCGAAGGCCTACTAAACACCAAGCAAATCGGCTGAGTATGGTAAGGAGTCCCATTGACCAGCTCGTGCTGCGAGCCAGTAAGCGTCCAGGTCCCGAAGTCAAGTAGTTCTAGAGGTCACTGTTGCGATCCTAGGCTGGAAACCTTAATGGCTAACTGGTTTGGGTAACGAAGTATGTTAGATGAACACACACACACACAAGGCATATTGGTTGACGCCTTAATTTCTCTGCAAACCTACCCGTGATTTTTTCTGCCGGTGCGTCAGATCCTCAGTTAGATGCTTGCAATCCACCCCGGTATTGGTCGTTTGTCTTCAAATATTTCACTACTGATACGTAACAGCCGTAAAGTGTCGCCACTTTATCAAGTGACTTATTTTCCCCACTTAGATGGTCAGGTTAATGGCTGTGGTCGCAGGTGCGTATCCTACTACGGTCGCAAAATATAACTGAATCGTTCCAGATCTTCAAGGACAGTGTGTGACGAACCTCAAGCAGATCCTAATGGGTCTTTGCAATCATACTTCCGAGGTGGATCTGGTCCCCACTGCCTTGTGGGTCAGGCTCCTGAGCTAAAGGCTTCGGGTGGAGTCTCTTAAGTAGAACTCTGAAATACAATCACCACAACGCGGGCATTTACCCACTAATGCAATCGTATGTCTGCGCGCAAAGCACTCAACATCGGGTGCTGGAACATGCGCATATTACTGGACCGGTACTCCAGTGAGCGTCCCGAGCGAAGCATCGCACTGGTCGCGATGGAACTGACACGCTACAACACCGATATTGCGGCGCTCAGCGAGACCCGGCTCGCTGAACAAGGTGTTACATGAACCTGGTCCGTAACTGGCATGACAGTGGAGGATGAGCCGGGCTAAATCATAGTCAACTGTCAGTCATGCAGGTCCGCGGCCTTCCCCCATGGCTTAGTGGCACAAACAAACGTGTCAGCTGTACGCCGTAACGGCGCTTCGTTGCCGCGCGACCACTACCAGTCGCGCGTGGGCTGAGTATACCGCGAGGACGCCCGTCCCTACGCGGCTTCGAACCGATGACCTCATGGTTGCAAACCAGACATGCAAACTCTCGGCCACCGGCCGAGGAAGGCGCACCACTGACGAGACCCAGGAAGTCGAAACAGCGCTGTATGGTTCTTCTCTAGATGTGTCAAAGCTTGCTAACAGAGGAAACTGCAACAAATTACCTCCGAAATTATACTAAAATCTCTACTACTCATTAGTAATTTAAATATACAGTTCTTCAATCGACTCTGTTTTTGCGCCATATCACCGTGTCGAGCCATTGGCAGTCCTCTTCCTTAGACCCCCAACCAGAAAGACGCACAGGGACGACGATTGCGAGACAGGAGGTTAGCGATCTCATGGTTTACCGCTAGGTGGTTGGCTGACCTCCAGGCGTCCTATTCCAATTCAGCCTCGGGCGAGCAAATAAGGCGCGGCGTGGTAAGCGCTCGCAATGGCACGTAGAGCGTTGCCAAGCCACCTCAATTGACGCATTGCGACAAGGCGATCAAGCGGAAGTCTCATGTTTGCCAAGACGCGACGCCGGACTTCTACGTTGCTAACCCCGTGCTTCCATTACACACGGGCTATCCTTTTCAAACATGTGTTGTCGAAGGCCGAAGGCCTACATATCTCATCCACACGAATTGGCCAGGACAGTTCCGTACAACAGGACCACGAGGACAAAAGCGTTGTAGACAATCCCGTTTAAGGAGATGGATAGGTCAGGACGACGCCACAAATGACCTAGGTTGGTAAATACCTACAGGGCTTTCGCGATGCGAAGATACTTCCTTTCCAAAATTGCTGATGCAGAAGAACAGCTTCTGAGATGGACAAAGTTGTCCACAAACTCCAGCTATGTTACTTCAATGGTAAGTAAGGGGGCAGACAACTCCCAGTCCTGTGGTAACACTTTGCACTTCAGGGGATAAAGCGCATCCCATACTTAGACGTTTCAATTGCCAAACGGTTCAAAAAGAGCGGTACACTGTAAATCATCATCGAGCAGAGCGATTTCATGAGCATAATTTAAGTCAGCCACGCGATTGCCAGGAGGAAGCTCAAACTCAAGATTTTGGGAGTCTTGCAGAGATCTCAACAGTACGTCTTTAATTACAAAGTTGAAGAGGAATGGAGACAAAGAGCACCCCCGTCGCACACCACAAGTGATAGTGACAGGTCTGGAAATTTTGTAGCCGAAAGAACACTAGTCATGAAATTCAAACATGGCATTTGGATGTAATTGAGGACACTCTATAAAACACCACGTTTTCCCAATTCAAGCTCCCTTCGAAAAAATGCTACCAAAGCCTGGTTCTGACTGCATGTTACAATGTCATTTTGCGGATTAATGGGCACACTACGGCTAGTTGCCGTGCTTATACAAAGAGGTTTATCCAATACGCTCCGGTCATCCATCCGCTGGACCCATGTGGTGACACCTGCGAAGCCGTTTCTGTTCGGTTTGCGCATGATGATACCACCGGATGATCATTGTTGGCTCACGTTTTCGGAGATCTTGACGACTGGTCCAGGAGATAAGCAGCGCCATCAAAAATGAGGAACAATTCAGTGAGATATCCCAACTTCACTGCGTGTCCCTGCGCCTTGAGGTGTTCTCCTTCAGGCAATGCGGGGCTAGGAGCCACGGCGGAGCATTTTAGCTTCCCCTGCGAAAATGATCGGCAAACGAACGCACGAGAAAGCAGACTGGGACTAACGGAATGTATGATGCACTCAAGCAACTACACGCTTTGCAGTGCGTTCCGTTAACATGCCAATTCCACACAATATGCACATTTGGGGACGCCGAGTTTGGCAATCACCCCTGCGAGCGTATGAACGGATCATCGGAGCTACCAGTGTTTCGAACAATAGCGAATGCTTCCACATCTGTCGAGCCATCATCCAACGAGAAGTAACGCCATATTGTTGGAGCTGGGACTAAAATTCAGGTATACCTATGTAAATGTTCACAACTGCCGTAGTTTCTTTTGTTCGCGCTCATTCTATGACGCTTGTTTTAAAGCGTCAATTCGTTAGACCGTTCGGCTATTTAGAGTTGGCGTTGACGTTTACGAATCACAGTTCCACGGTGGCGGTAACGCTCGTTTTATTCTCTCAATGCGTGCATCTGATTGGTTTTTCATTTGTCCGAACCCTATTGGCAAATGCATTGCTCAGACACATTCGCTTCTACCTGATTATTTATTATTCAACACTTGACCAATGTACAATTGGCAATGCCACAACACATAGTTAACAATAACAAAAAAGGGAGGAAAAGGGGTGATCAGTGAAAGGGTTTGGAAAGTTTAGAAGATTAATGTGTTGGGTGAAAAGAGATCTTCCCGGTTGCCCAGGCCGAGGGAGAGGGTTGACTTCATGGACCCTACCCCAAGCTTTTGGCCTTAATACATAACCCGCAAGGCAGCGGGGCGATTAACGAAGACCGTTGACATCCGGGTGGCTCATTCGCCTTCTTTGTGTTCAGTAGAAGTCCAAAGAGAAGCCGGTAGTCAGCAAGGTTGTTCATCTGCTCTCCGTTATATACTCACCTCCGGTTACAGAAGTGAGTGGTCAGTGACCCTATAGCCGGTCACATTGGCTTTGACACAGCGCCGTACGAGCTCTTTGGTATTTAATGAAGAACCGGGTGACCAGCCCAGAGCTCCCCATACTCTGAGACGCTGCCGCTGATTCTCCGCGACTGCTTATTCATCTCGTTTGCAAGGTAAACGAGACTTATTCGCAGTTACCTCCACGATGAAGGCACTCGTCAATCCGCAACCCGGGGGCCCGTCCGATAGCGTACAGCTCTGCCACAGGGCTTCTATCTGAACGGCCGTTTGACCCCATTCACCTGCTGCCTGCTAGTCTCACGTGACGCACACACTTGTCTCGATGACAAGGGCACAAGGCATTGCGTTCGACTGTCCTCGCTATCGATTCAAGCGAAATACGGGTAAGCCTCCTTTCAACCCAGTTACGTGTACGAAGCATTTGTGGTCACTAAGAAGAGGAAATTGAACGCCGTGTCCCGTTTTCAACAAAGAATGGGGAGTAAAATAATTACAGTGGAAACTATGGACCGGAAAACCACTTGTGGCGAAGGTGTTGCCGTTTGGAAAGCGTACAATCTCTGGCATCATTATGAGACAAAACACCTACCAGCATATTTAAGGTATTCTTGGAAGCAACGCTGGGAAAAAAATGAAACGTGCTTTTGAAACCAAATAACCTTCTTCACGAGCAATTCTCTGAAAATGAAGATGTTAAACCTCATTTTCACAAATCTCACTAATTCTTTTGCTCTTCCCTTGTGCCCTCCGCATGTGCGCACTAAACGTCTGAAGATAAAAGTTTTTGCTTACGCCTCCTCGGTTGATCATATTTAGTCAATAAAGATGTTGATTATTCTTGTTTTCTACGTTGTGCATCACTCACCCATCTTTACCATGGAATGTCGAACATAGTTTATTATTTTATTTGCTCAGGACTTTTTTGGCTTGCGAATATTGTACAAAAATCTAATGCGGCCCGAGGTCGTCAACATTTTGGCTATCCGGCCCGTAGTGCACAATGTTTGGTGCCCCCCTGGCGTAGACAAACCGGAGACAGTGCAGTGTCACTCACCGTAGAGTACAAAAGTGGTTTAGGTAGGTTGTAGCAGATCAGGCTTCAAGTACTGCAGTAACGCGGTGGAGGCGAGTGGGGACCATACTTTTATCAACACTACTTTCCAGCTCATGCGCGTCGGCTGACACAGACGGATGGTCAGTTTGGTGATAGGTTTAGTGTCAATATGTGAGTCACAAGTGTTCGTTCGATGTATACCTTGTGTACTCAGAGAACCACTGAAAAGTGTGAGTTTAACACATAAGCACGTAGAAACAATCATTTGGTAATGCGTGACCACCGTAGTGCATCCCACTTACATCCATACAGATAAATAGCTTAAAAACTTCAAGGTCCCTGAATAATGTCGGGTTGCTAGCGCGTGAGATAGTTTTACAGCGAAGTGACATTAGAAATACTGCAATGGATTTCACTATACACTGGGCTGAACACCAATCGGTGCGGTTTGGTCACAGGGGATCAACAATGCGTTACTAGACTAATTGACCAAGTAACATGGCAGCTTTCACTCACGTTTGCATCCACTGGGCTCTCGTGGGTCACCGTAGAACATGGGACGACACTGGTCACACTTGCGGCCACTTCTTTCGGGCCTACATTGGCATTGTCCATCCAGCTGCAGTACAGAAGAGAAAAACAGACGCACTACGTTAAGCACAAGTATATAGTTGGCAACCGTGAGGTCGCTGTGTTACCTTCACTTAATCTGATCTTATTTTTCACTCCTCCAATAGCAGACTCAGTGTGAGCTCATGAAAAACACGCGCATCGATACGTTAAACAGTAGAGTTCCGTTCCCGAGTTTGACTTCTATCACTGCCCATTCCCCGGTTTAGTTTCTAATTGATTTCACGGTGTGCAATGCATACTTTCAAAGCGCACACACTGACAAAGTTCAAACCCATAGTCCTCTCCATTTAATTCTGCCTTACCCACCACACTTGGTTCCTATCCAACATTTACGTTTCACACGGTCAAGCCTATCTTGTACCTAACATCGGAGAAGGAAAGTTGGTAATCTCAATCCTCATGCTGCAATTGTATTTACTTGGACGCATCCATGTCATGGTTTGAATTATGCTGACGAAATTGTCATACGGGTTCGTTATCATGGGACCGCATAGTTAACCCTGGAGTGATCCCACCCGTCGGTATCGCAGTTTCAAGGACCAAAATATTGTTGGAGGACAACGTCTACAGAGGAAGTAGAGATTGTTAATCAATTCACCTATTCTTATATGTGGATTCGTATCAATACATGCAGAACTGCTGAGGCTGTTCCACGCATTACGAAGGCTAGGACTACCTACTTCAATATGCCATATTTTGGGCACCAGAAGGGGATTGTTCTCCAACTGAAAGATTTACTTTAGATTTACTTTCTTTGAGTTGAGGAGCTGAAGTACTATTAAGTCATAGATCAATCCCTGTGGGGTATTTTTGGTGTCGTATGGCACCGTATGCCTCAATGATGAAGTCTGCAGGGGAGTATTGGTCAGTGATAATCAAAATGATTCCTTAGAGGAACTACCACCTTGAATAAGTTAGCTTGGCAGGGAAACATGGTATGTTTGTCCGTTCTCCTAGTAACGAGGAAGGATTTATCTGCCGGATGCAGGATGAAGGAAGGCTCGAGGAAACAACGGTTTGCTTGCTAGTGGGAAATGAAGTCACTGATTGCTAAACTAGCTGCAGTTGATTCTTCCCACCTTCCAGCATGAAGCCCATGCAACCCCCTTGTGTATGGTTCAAGGCTCTAGTGGACACTGCTCGCAACCGACAGCCGTGCCACATTTGCAGTTGTCTCCAGGTCGGACTGCTTGTTGAACATGTCATGTTGAAGTATACGTCTGAAAGAGCTGATAATGACGCGGAGCAGTGAAAGTCGCAAGGAGCTTGTCTCACTGATGTCGTCTTAGCGCGTTAGTCAAAGGTTTGTGATAGTGTGTTCCTTACATCGTGTAGGCGCCTTGACTCTTGGGCCTCACACTAGGCTACCTTCTACCACTTAGCTATTCTTCATTTCATATGTCCACATTATTTCACGGCAGGCAGCTGAAGGAAGAGAAGAAGAAGAAGAAGGACGAGGAGGAGGGAGTGAGACGGGAGTGAGATAGTACAGGCAACAGCAAATAACATGTTGTGACGCTTACTACTCATAGCAAGGAAAAGCAAATTTCTCACCCCTTTGCACAAATTTACCTGCGTCACTGCAGCCAATAATTCCAATGACTAGTTAGCCAGAAAATATTCATAATATCCGTTCAAGTAACAAAGTGTAGGGCGTGCAATTCGAAATCCAATCGTTTGTTGAACACAGCTAATGTGGGGGCACAGACAACTGAGTTTGAAAGGGCGTTCCAGGGTTGACAGACCTGGAGGGAGACGTGATTTCGTCGACAATCGAGACGACTACGTTTTTGAATCAGATTCAGGCTATTGCCTTTGATGTTGCCATTTGGACTGAGTTTCAGTAGGTGACGGCATAGGTCACTGGGGTCGACCAGTATCTAGTAGACAAATAAAAGGTCTCCATGAAGCCGCCGGTAGCGTCCACTGAACACTCCGGGTGACTACAATCGTTGCTGGTACGGAAGGTGGAGCAGTTCCTTGACAAATTTCCTTGCTCGACATTGGGGAGTTTCGAGCGCTGCAGGGTCACGTTTTAACCAAGGATAACAAACCTGAACCGCGTCTTAGACGTGGGGACGCACGTTAGCATTGAGCATCAAAGAGAAGATGGATGAATCCTGAATGCTCTCTGCAAGAGATCAACAAGCTGGTTACCACTTTTTGAAACAGATTCTGATTGTCTGGAACAACCGAGATCGTCCTGTACCAGCTCACCGAGGTCACGTTCCTGAGAGCTTGTCTGCAGATCGTGCACCTCAAGTTTGTAGAGCTGGGTGTGTCGATGGTGGATGTGGACAACGTGGCACTTGTGCACATTGAATGGTAGTGCATTCCTCACCGAGCAATGCCAGGCCTCATCGAGGTCTCACTGGAGGATCTCGTGGTCGTCCATTCCCTTGATCGCCCGCCAAATGTCAACTTCATCCCCAAAAAGTAAAAATTTTGTAGTGATAGCTCTCGCTAGATCGTTGATGAAAGCTAAGAACAAGTGAGACCCACGTACCGAACCCTGCGGCATGCCGCACTCCACTCAAATCGGGTCGGACAGAGGATTTCGGACTCTACCTTCCAGTTACTGTTCGCGGAGAAAGTTACCAACCCATCCTAATACTGAATCGCCAACACCGTAGAGCTGCAGTTTGTGAGGAGGATTAGATGATCCAAACGATCGAAGGCATTCGAAAAGTCATACTTTAACATCAATTTCTGTCCCTTTGTCCACTGTTTCGGTCCAGTTGTCACGGGCTATCAACAGATTCATGGTATATGATCGATGTTTACGAAATCCATACTGCTCCAACGCTATGATGCCGGAGCTTTCCAGATAGCCCATCAGTACGTCTGCGATGATTACTCCCATGACTTTGGCGAGCACAGGAAGAAGCGTGATCGCAAGGTAATTGACAGGATCAGACCGACTTCTTTTGCTTGTGAATGGGGGTTATAATACCTCGTTTTCACGTCGACAGAACTATGTTTTCGCCTAGACAACACTGAAAGAATCCGGCAAGTGGTTGGGCTAGGTGCATAGCTTCTACTTGCAGGACTTTAGAGTGAATGTTATCCACTCCAGGAGAGCTGTGTGTATGCAAGCATATTAGCTTTATCAGCACCATTTCTGCTTTGAATGGGATGCTGGATAACACTGCTGGTGTGGTGATAGAATCAAGTATAATGTTTGAGAGTTGTACCGCTTGGAAACTTGGCAAGTACTGGACTCTTAAGGCGTTGGCCACCTCTTTAGATGGGTGTGTATACCCACCAATCGTAGTGAGTAGTGGGATTCCTCGCTGCACCTTTTGATGTCCATGCACGTGTCTGTAAAGAAGCTTGTGATTCGAACAGAATCGTTTCGCTACCTCCTTTAAGTGTGGTAACTTGTCTTCACGAACCAACTGTACGGAATAATTGAACTGAGCTACGTACGCTGTGCAATTTTCTGCGTTGAGATTGTTTTTGTGAAAGCGCCATGTGCGATCTCTCAAGGCCATAAATTTTCGTGTTCGGTTTCTCAGGAACGATATTGGTTTAATTAGACGGTGGAAAGATTTTGGCTCAGATGCTTCGGCGACTAGTGACGCGAAGGTTTTCGAGAATTTGCCCCAGCTTATCTCATGGGTGCACTCAGACATGTATATCCAACCAGCATTTTCAACGAATGCGGACAAAAAATGATAACACGTAATAGATTGTATTTTTCGTGCTCTGCATCGAGGTATTCGGCGTAGCAAATGTAATCGAACAGTAAAGCCACGGGATCGCTTCGACCCAGAGGACTGCATACATTCAGCCCATCAACCATGAGCTCCTCGCTGGTGAGCCCTAGATCTAACATTGATGGCTTATTCGCTAATCTGAACCTGGTGGGATCGATGACGTGGTTGTATAGCGGTGTGATATAGAATAGCTCTTGTAAATTGGCCTTGAACTGTTCCGCCTCGGTCGCTGGAGTTTCCAAATCACGGATGTTGAAATCACCTGTGATGCGCAAATGAGTGTACTACTGATTTATCACAGTGCGAAATACCCATATTAATCTGTGGTCCATAACCGGAGTGGATTTGAGTGGTCGGTAAACTACGGATACGAGGTATGTATCGTCGTCCTTCAACGACAGTTTGTAGGAAAGGAGATCGGTGACACACGTCTGAGGATTATCTATGAGCTCACAACGAAGGTTTGTTTTGAAATATATGATCACTCCCCTCCCGTACCTGTTCTGTCGTTCCAAAGAAGTTCCATGCCGGGTAGAGCGATTTCAGCTTCGGCCATTTCACAGCTCAGTCACGTTTCGGTGATCATTATGATGTCTCGAGACTCGGATGTCTGACCGTGACGGAGTTCGACCAACTTACTGTTAAGGCCTTGTGCGTTAGTATACAAGCAGGTCAGTTTCGCAGTGACCAAAAGTAAATCATTTGGAATTGGATTAAGACTGGAGATTGTGCCGACCGTTAAGGAGTTGGCCAGTAGCCGTTTTTTGGCGAATTCGTTGGCATTTGAAGTTCGGTCGGGTTATATGACTGCTCTCGGCTGTCCTGGCCCTGATGATTGCCCGTTTTTTGTCTTATTCCTTCAGATGCTAAGGTTGCCCTTAAATTCATCCCTTCACAGAGCTGTATGAGGAGAAGATGCACCAGGTTAGTCGTCCCCAATGAGTCGTTAGCCATTCGTGGCCGTGTACCCGCCGCCTTTAACCGAATTTCTGTAGGTAGGCTCTTGCGGAATTTAGGTCAGTTATCCAATATAAGCGGTGTCTTTAGCTCAAACTGAAGTTTCACCTCCATCAGCTGTGGACTGTTCCCCCTGTAGTTAGGTGAAACTGGATTTCTTGTCAACCGCTTTGCAACTATATTGTCAAGGGAGAGTTTCTGGCGAATAGAACTTTATTGCTCCCGGTCGTGTGTCTCTGATTCCTCAGAGGAGGATGTTAGAAGCTCAGGAACCCCGTAAAAAATAATCGTAGGTCTTTCGGCAGCTTTAAGAACTTCTTCCTGGTTGATATTCTCCTTAATATGTTCGTTCCAAGGGATATTCGGAAGAAACGCATCTCAGGCGATTGATTACGGACCGGTATCGACGGCAGCAGAACTGGCTCTGTGTCATCAACTGAACTCATTGTCACCCGGAGAAGTCGAGGTTTACCGTAATGTACGGAATTTGGGTGATGTCGAACCTGTCGCAGTGTCGTGGGCTCAACTGAAATGTCAATTGCACCACAAATGGAATTCCACTGATTACGGTCATCCACTAGCTTTCCTTTTATGGCACTTAGACTGGCTCCCGCTTGTCAGTCCCTCACAGCTAGATAGTTTGACATTCGTGACTGTCCCGTCACGTGATTGTGTTGCACACACGCACGACAGTCGTTCAGAATTAGACCGCTCACCAATCATGACTATGTCCTTGCGTGTGGTTGGCTTGTTGATCTATTGATATTCTTGCATCTCGGTTGTTCAGCTTTGTCAGTTTCCCAATACAGCTCGTCCAGAGCCAGGATGTTCTTGCTTCCTGTTCGGAGTGGGTTCTGTTACAGTCAGACGTTATAAAAGACTGGCCATGGCATTTTAGTTTGCGGACCATAACGGTCCCTTTGGAATTTTTTCCACAAATGCTATCCAGACAGCAAGCACCGTTTGAGGCGTCACAGCAACGCTTAACTGAAACATTGACAACACGAATGTCGTTACAGTCAGCATCTACGGATTTCTATGGAGCACCCGGTAAAAAATGTGTACAGCGAAAAGATGGGGCCAAATAAATAATTCGTGAGAGAATACCATGGCTGAAAGTTTCTGGATTCCAACAACCAACATTTGTGTGAAAATTCGCTCGTTGGCTACTCAAGTTGTGCCCTCGGTGGAGGACTTCAAAGTATGTCATTCTTATTGATAAAACGGTCTAATTTTTTCACTCTCATTGGATACAGGATGCGTTGGCCCAATCTTCTCCGCGCTGTTGACGACAGGACTGGTTCCGAGGAGTGCTGGTGGCGGACCCTTAACAAGAGTTCCTAAGGTGTGTTCGGATTGTAACAATTAGTCTCCGTTGAGATCATGGATCACAATGAACTAAACCTTGCCAATTAGAATCACTGGGACGGCAACCGAAGTGCAGAGTCTCGGTGTCGGCCGAACTCAACACTGCACTCCGCAAGAGATGTCAGTATTAATGACCATGGTCCACCTGTTCTCTCCCGCCGGAATAAATTAGGCGGACTGCCTTGAATTCACTGCATTCTTCCTCCGGGTTCGATACGGGGGAATGTTAGATTTGAGTAGCTCCCGAAGCCAGGCACCTGTCGTTTAAGGGGTAACTTCGTTGCAAAGTTGGGTGGGGTGTCTAGTCTAGGTATGGGATTGGGGACTCCAGAACGTCGAATGACGAGTACACAACTGGCCAGCTGCTAAGTGAGTAGTATCAACACCGAAGTAAGCAGACTCAAAACTATCTGTTGCGAGCATAGTGTGACCCACGATTGAGTCATTTTACCAATCAATATTCTTCTACTATAAGAGTGAATGAAGAATAAAAACAGACGGTGGACCGCCTCTAAACTAACCGGGTTGCACATGTCGCCCAAGGAACCCGTTGGATCGCAGCGGCAAGGTTCGCAGCCTTTTCCTGAAGTCAGGTTGAAGTAGCCGGGTGCGCATTCGTAACATCGAGGACCAATAACATTGGGCAGGCAGGGGCATTGGCCATTGTTCCGGTCGCAGCCCATTTTACCTTCATGAAGACTACCGAGAACGTAACAGTTACAAGGTTGACACATTTGTCGCGTCGCATCACCCCAGAAGCCAAGTTTGCACTGCGGCGAATGCGGGTGAAGAAAACGTTATAAGTGTGACACAATAACGTAGTAATTAATGGATAGTGCATGGAGTGCAATAGACTGGTGCCACAATACTAGCCATCTTGACATGCATCGTGATTGTAAGGTGGAAGCTAGTTATAAAAGACTCTGATATTTGTGATCTCAAACTGATGTCAGTGTTTTAGCCAGGTGACCAAATCATAGCGTGGAAACAGTACAAAAGTTAACGGGGGAAAATCCAGTGTTTTTCATTAGCGTATCACACAAAGATCCTAACTACGACAAAATTAGAGGAGAAAATTCGTAGTGGTCTGGGCTATGGTATGTTGTAAACGGATTCTGTGAGGAGTCGAACATTCTACAGCAAGACGATCTCCAGTCGACTTCGTAACCTAACTCCATTATAGGGCCTCAGTAGAAATTTAGAAACTACACTATTCGATCGGTCGGAAAGAGGGCCAACAGCCCATTTGATGACCTATTGTTTTCGAGTGGGTAAGCGGTATGACGCTGGCTTCCTCCAAATTCAAAACAACGCCAGATGCCAACAAGTACAGCCTACTGGTCAATAGCACGTTCAACTTGCTATATACTTTCTCTTTCTCTGTATGACAATTTTAAACCTTGTGGCACAAACGTTCCGAGACTTTACGGCTTGCCAAAAATCCATAAGGTCAACATCCCGCTTCGTCCTATTCTGTCAATGGTTAACTCACCCCTTAAATATGATTGTAATGGTCTGCAGAGAATCATCGAAAACAATTGTTCACCAATGGTCTCGTGTTCTTTTGACTCTAAATGGGAATTTTCAAGTTGCTTAAACTGTCCAAGCGTCCCCCAGTGATGAAGGAGCTCAATCAGTTCCTGAGGTTTTCCACAAAGGTTGCTGAAGCCAAAACCAGTGTTCAATATTTCGATGAGTGTGTTGAGCGTAGTGAGTATCCCGCTAGATTTTGGAAGCAACTACGTCGTAATCGAATATATCCTAATAGCAAGACGCTTAGACGACACGCGCTTAACCAACGTGATACGGTGCAGTTTAAGATAGCAGAGTTCGAAAGGAATTTAGCACAACGCCACATAGCAACGGAGGATTTAGCCGCAGAGGAAAGGCAGATGTTCTTGGATTATGTCCAGTCTATTACCAGTAATCGTGTACATCGGAGGCGTTCGGCTTTAGGAAAAAACGCTGAGCCAGATAAAACCGCAAGCTGTGTTTCCGAACAAGCCCGAAATGTACGTACACCAATTTTCTAGCGTGAAACTGGATACAACTTTAATTGAAGTTCTATCGCTCGGTTTAAAATTTTGTGCACCTAGACGTAGAGACAACCAACTTCATTACGAGTTGCAGTTCAAAAACCTATATGACCAAACGAATGGGTTAACACCTACGTCTACTATGGATCTCGAAAGCTTTAAGTGCTTCTTGGTACATTGTTGCTATCAATATCGTAAACATCGTGTCCATAATCGTGGTCCATTAATAAGAAAGCACCTAGACACGCTGAAGGAGCTTAAACACAATGAGGAGGTCATTCTGCGCAAACCGGACAATGATGTCGGTATTGTGTTATTAGACAGAAAAGACTATTTGATAAACTCACAACCATTCTGAGCGATAAGACGAAGTTTTCCTGCGACACGAGGGAAGCTGACCAAACGGAACAGATTGAGAGACAGATCACTAAAAGCCTCCAACAGCTTCGGGCCAAGGGGTACACTGTATGACAGTCTTAGACCTTGTGGCACAAACGTTCCGAGACTTTACGGCTTGCCAAAAATCAATAAGGCTGACATCCCGCTTCGTCCCATTCTGTCAATGGTTAACTCCCCCTTAAATATGATTGTGATGGTCTGAAGAGAATCATCGAAAACAACTGTTCACCTATGGTCTCGTGTTCTTTTGATTCTTTCTGGATTCTTGAAAGACTCGAGGGTGGACAGAGTTCGAAATTCGGCTGTGTGAAGCCAGTCACAAATGTGTTGCACATTGATGTGCAGACGCTAGGAAAATTCTGCCGTTGCCTTTTCTAAGGTAACGGGGTAAACTTCTATGTTAGCAAAGCTACAACTCGCTCAGGTACAAATGCGGTACAATTAAATTGTAAGCCTTCTTTCAAGTCGTCACACAATAGGGGTTGGTTAGGGCCAGGAGAATCAATGTACCTCAGACTTACCACGTCACAACTGAAACCTTCTGTGTTGTGCAGACATTTTAAACACCTTCCGGTCAGCGAATCACAGCCCCCAGGTTCGTTCAATGCAATGTTTCCGGAGCATTGGCACGGCCGACAAGAACCCCCTATTTCGGTAGGGTTACCAAAGTAGTTCACCGCGCACTCACTGCATCGTGGACCTGAGGGTTGAAAGGGATCGAGTGAGACAATGCAACAGTTCCTAGGACATGGATCAATCTTAACTCTAGGTGTGAGGAAAGCATTTACTAAGTTTCTTACCTGTGTATCCGGATTTGCAATAACAAATCTGCTCTTGCAAAGGGCCCATAACGCACTCCGCAGCATGATTGACTCCGCCTCCAGGACAGGAACATGGCCTGCATGGAGTTCCCCGGAGCGGATCCCCGTAGAAGCCTTCATTACATTTTTCACAACTCACGCCTCCCGTGTTCTCCCGGCAGTTTGTGCACACACCAGTAGTCTGAAGCGGAAAACAAAATAGTGAAAGTACGATTAATACTATCAGAACTGTAGTAATAGGTAGATTTCATATCAATAATAATAATAATAATAATAGGTGCATTTCTCTTTAAGTGACAGACTGCGTCTATATTTGGCACATATCATGTGATGTCTAAGCAAAAGGTTCGAATACAGCTGAGCATCGACATTGGACGCGCAAAGTTTTTGGTGTCCCTTCTCACATACGAGTTGTCGTTTCACCCGCTCAATTTGCCTCCTAAGCGCGGCTATAGTGCTGTTGTTGCTAAGCAACCAGACTGGCACAGACGTTCAAGCCCCAAACACATTCCTTCTGTCGTAAAGGTTTTATTGAACAATCCGTTTAATCTGCATATGAGTAGCCTCTTTAGATGTGCACCGTTTGCTCCAAGACAAAATAGGCGGTGGCCATTTAAATATCCGAGAAAGGATCTCATCGCTTTTGCTCTTTCTTTGATAACAATAGGTCTAGTTATGCAAATATAGGTGTCCTTAGTACCTGTCATGAAATTAGAAGGACTGTATTGAACTATCCTGTCTGTGAGCTCACTGAGATCGCGGTTTGGAGCCTGGAAGTGCCGTTTTCCCTAGCAACAGTAGTTTACTATGACCCCGTCGAAAGCACGTGGTAGGCAAACCGACAAGCTGGTGACAGCGAATGCGTTTGACTCCCGGGACGATCATAACATTCTCACCTCCCTGCTAGTTGTAAATCCGTAAACCATCACACGTTTCATACAACAAGATCAAAGATCAAATAGCAGAGTTCTGTCGTGGTTGTGGGCAGTTGTATTGTTACAATGTTCGTGTACGACATTTACCAACACATTTTTAATGATTTTTTGCGGTAGAATTATCGAGAACACTATCGAAATTCCGTTCATCGACAACTTTTCACTCTATGGTGAGAATCGCTAAGTCCGTGAGCGTTACCTGATTCATTGCTGACCGAAAGCAGTTCTAAATAACCTTGGGTTTTAAGACAGCGCTCGTAGCTGGTAAGACTAATAGCCGGGGTAGGAAAGATCACAACATCGGGTGCAGATTCCCCAAGGTGATATTTCTGCACGGAACACAAATGATCAAAGAGTGAATGAACTTTGTTGTTTCCTTAAACCTCCATATCATACTGCAATCTTCTCCTCTCAGTAGAGAATTCCTCCTTTTTCTATATTTTCTATTTTCTGCCCATATCGAACTAGACAGCCTGGAGTGCGGCATTGAAGATGTACGCATTCTGCTGGCCAGTCTTTAAGGGACCAAGCTTGTAGGTCCTGACGTAGTCCGTCCACAGATCCTCAAGAAGTTATCGGTTATCGTCTAGCTGTGCATGACTGAGCTGTTCAACAGGACGCTGTCTACATGTTCCTTACTGAGCGACTGGAAATGCTCAGTCGCAAAGCCAATACTGAAAGGCGGTGACCCAAGCAAAGTAGGCAATCACCGGCCGATCTGCTTAACCAGTTTTGTCCAAAAACACATTAGATCTTGAAGAATAATCTTCTAAGGTTTCTCGAGTCCAAAAAGCCTCTTGGCGCCCACACAGCATGGTTTCGTGAAATGTCGCTCGTGCATCACCAACCTGCTTGTAACGAGGTAGAAATGGTTGCAAGCGCGGAACCAAGGGAGGTCGGTCTACCTCATTTACACTGAGTTCGGTAAGGTGTTTGATAAGGTGAATCACGAGGTCATTCGCCACAGCCTGAGGATGTACGGTGTTGGTAGCTCGCTGCACCAGTGGGTTAGGAGTTTTCTTGTTGGTCGAAAGTGGGGGTCCAGGCCGACAACCATCTGAATGACCAGTATCCCAGGACAAGTGGCGTGCTCCAAGACACTGTACTGGGGCCTATTTTGTTCTTGGTCCATATAAACGATGTGCCTCAGCTTATCCGATTGCTTCGTGTGTCGTTTGCGGACGACTTAAGGATGTGGAGAGTAATCAGTGTGCCCGGTGACTGTGGCATATTTCAGTGGGACCTTGACCACCTCTACATGTGGTCAGCAGAAGTTAACTTTCCGATAAACCCGATCAAGTCGCTACTCATGAGCCTGGAGAAAGGTGGACACAGTCGAATCTACAATGTGACCAGTCAACCGTTGCATCCTACACGTTTATGAAAGATCTCGGAGTACTCTCAAGCTGCAAACTGAAGTCCGTGGACAAAACGAGTAGGCTTCATCAAAACATACTTCGTATGCTTCGGGTGCAGCTACTGCTCTTGGTCCGAAGAGATCGCCACTCGCCTCTTCGTCCCACTCAGCCGACCAATGATAAAGTACGGCTCACCAGCTTACTGTCCTATCACCCGGAGCGAGGTGCAAAGGACTGAGTGGGCTAAGCATGAGGTCACCATGCTCATGCCCACTTTGTGAGATGTACCCTATAAAGGCTTTTTACTCCCTGTCTTATTCTCGGGTGCGGGTTGACCTCATCATGACGCACTGTATATTAAATCATGGTGATTATCCCATGGTGAGGCAGCTGCTGCATTTGCGCACACCAAGCAGCACACGAGGACACCGGTACAAGCTTGTAGTACCGGATTTGAACAGGGTCGCCCACCAACTCTGCTTCGAACAGAGAGTAATGAATACATGGAACTTGCCGATGCACGTAGTTGAAGCAAAGCCGGTGTCGGAATTCAAGAAATTTCCCGACAAACACTTTTTAGGCACGAAACATCGGTAATGATCGCGAACAGCATTGGTTGGTGTACCTGGGGTTTTTTAGATGCAGCTAAATGGACAATCATAGTTTTCATTAAGCAGATTTGACCGTCTAAGGAAAGTATATTTGTTTGCAAGGCTATGGAGTTTCTGAAATCTAGGACACATTTCAGCAATGAACAATGAACAATGATTTATCACGAGATAAAAGCAAGTGCTTGACACGTCCCGTAGGATGGTAGCGGTGAATATGATGCAATTAAAATATGTGTGGGTCATCTATCGAACGTCTGCCGAGATGAATACTTTGATAATTAACATCAGTGTGAAATGAAAAAGAAATATCGCGCGTAAACATTCAGAAAGACACTGGGGCGCAGTGATAGTTGAGGTAAGGAGTGAGAAAATAAAATATGGTCGCTCACTTAGGTCCATTTGATACAAAAATCCTGTTGAAAACATGCTTGGCGTAATCCACAACAGAGGAGCTTAGGTAACAAAATGTTGGGAGCTGAGAGCAACATCTAATCGTTTTTTTGAAAACATCCAGGGTAGGAGAAGATACTACTGAGTCTGAGAGTGCGTTCCATGGTTTGCAAACTCGAAGGGAAAAGTAATTCCGTCGACACTCTAGACGGCTGTATTGTTCCTTCAACTTTAAGCAGTTACCCCTGAGCTGCGTGTTGTGGCTAAGTTTCAGCAAATGGCGACATACGTGGTTGGGGTCACTCAATATCTGATACGCTAATATGAGATCGCCGCGCAGCCTTCGATAACGTCCGCTGAAAATTCCCAGCAACTTCAGTCTTCGGTGGTAAGAGTGATACCGCAGGCCCATCACGTTCTTTGTTGCTCTCCGTTGTGGTGCCTCTATCGCTTCTAGGTCGCGTTTCAACCTAGATTGCCAAGCTTGGATTGCGTACTCAACTTGCGGGCGCACGTAGGAATTGTGCATCATTGGGAAGATTGATGGGTCAAATCTCCCGAATGCCCTTCGCAGCATGCCGACGTGCTGGTTGCCTCTTTTGGCAGCTACCTCAGCCTGTTTTGAACAGTTGAGGTCGCTCTGTACGATCAGTTAAACTGTCTATGGCAGAGGGTTATTTTGTTCTCCGAGCTGGGCATTTCGATTGCAGACGTTTCGTAGCCGAACTAGGCAACATCATCAGTACCTCATTCAAGGTCTGAATCACAGTGTCTCGAGAACCACGGCCAGATCCGAGTGGCTATGACAGACACCATTCTCGTCTGAACTCAGCAACAGCTCCCATCGATACATCAGTCTTCACAATTCAAAAGTTTAGTTTACCGGACTCAACGGTCCATTCTCATTCCTAATATAGAGCAGACTTTTTTGGTCTCATCTTTTGCACTGTTCACCACCTCTCTCTTTTGAATAAGACAAACTCTCAAAACTGTGAGCTCCACAGAACTTTGTTGCAAATCCAGCACTTTTGTTGGAAGCTCAACATTGAATCATGGGAGAACTTATATCCAGAGGTTCAGAAAGGAAATAAGCGGAAATGACAGTATCAAGGTGAGAATTAAAAATGTATCACATCTTGTGGTTGTATTTGCTGCGAGCTGTTCCAGAGCAGTGACGACTTCCGAATATTTCTTCACCGCAACATTTACAGCGTCTGCTTGGGACTTTTGACGAACGCGTGGAACTCCCGAGTCAAAGCAAATAAGTCTAAAGTGAGCTAAGATATGATATAAATGGATGTCACATTCAAAAGACGAACCCCACCAATACCCACTCAGCACGGAAACAACCGAGTCTTCACAAGGCACGCCATGAGAGTACAATCACCGTACTAGCGGCTGTACCAACAGACCACGAACGCTAGTCAGCAAGTGAGGTCACCCAGACACTTTTCTCGGGCCATAGAAACATTTGCAATGACATTACCGCTGGACAGGGCCTCATGGTCGAAAATGCATAACCTTCACGGGTAACTGCAATGTGAAACGATGTGTAACCGTTTGTCGTTATTGCTCCAATAACGTGAAGATTCTGCCTGTGAGTGTTAGCGATTTCACACTGCACACCACGCGGTGAGCGCCCTCTGTTGCGTATGAAATAAACATTGCACTTTGCTTCAGCAATTCACACAGTTTGTCTCCCTTCAGCCTCCAATTGTAGCAGTGCCAACATTACAACCTAGAGTAAAAAGGTAACAACCATGACCTGTACACAATCCCCTCCAGCAAGCGCATTCTGCAGAAAGCTGCGTGGTGCGGAGCACATTTGACGGTATGTTCACTAAGGGTGCGTATGCGGTCGACCTCACCCCCACGTTCCGGCAGTAC